TAATAAAAGAGCTCAAAATACACAAAACCACTAGGTAGGGATAATAAGGGCAGTAGCCTCAGAAGGCAGAGAAACTTCAAGGGAAACTTGACATGGAAATCATCTCTTACTTTCCTCAAGCACAGCAGTGTCAGTTCCCAACAGCATTAACCATTCTGCTTCCCAAACTGTGCAATGTCACCAGAAGGTCAGTCAGGATGGCAGGATCTTACCTCCAGAAGTCAAAGCTACAAGCACTCAGTGACTCAGTGACTGCTGTTCCTCCTTCAAGCCCATATTGCCTTACCACCTAGCTTATCGAGGCAAGATGTTACAAGGTCATTTCCAATATGCATCCCAAGCCCCAAAGCACTGTTCCAATTTACTTGTGAATCTGAACTCCAAATATCCTAGAAAGAGTTAAAGTCTTGGTCCAAATTTTCCTCTCTTAGCCCCTACACAGAAACATTAGTTTAACCCACCAGTATTTCCTTTACAGGTTCAATATATGCTGCAGTTGCAAGTGAGAAAAATAACAGTGCTCTTAGACTAGCTCTCCATGGAAATAGTCACCAAACCAGTCAGCACAATTATCAGACTCTGGTGAAGAAAAATCCTGGATGAAAAATATATCAGTGACAATGATAAAATTCAGCTGATGGAAAAACTCGGACTGAGCTCTGAGGGAAAACTATTCCAATACTCTCTCGCTTTTGACATGATATGAAGATAATTCATATAGAAGAATTATATTTGCACAAGGTTAGTAATAAGAAATCTCAAATTGGATTTCTGCTTTTTTTTTTTTTAACCCAACTTCCTACATGCTGGATTTAACCACTGATTTCAATAAAGCTGGGATTTAACTCTCATTGACTGCAATGCAGCCATTTCTCCCTAAGCTTGAAAAATACTTAGCTTCCCACACATGTGCAAGCAAAGAGAACAAAAGAGCAGAAAGTACACCTCCACGTGTCTCCTATAACATCTCCTATCAATTGCATCTTATAGAGTGATGGCTGCAAGAGTGCTTTGCACCAAGCTTTCACTGTGTTTGAAGCTATAGCACACAACATTAAAGCACTTGCAAGCAGCTACGACTGTCACAAATTATAGAAGTATCTCTCCCCTTCATCTTTCTCCTGCTATTTCACTAGAGAAGGCAGGTTTATGATGGATCCTTATTTGAATGATCATGCTCTGATTTTCTGCATCTTCTGTTGCGATTGACTGGAGATCGATCAGTTGTTGATAAGTGCTGGGAATGTTAAAATACCTCAGGCCAGAAAGAGGGACAGATTTCTCTACTAGCTGTGTACATACAGCCCAAAATAGCAGACCTCTCTCTCTTGCAAAACTTACACCTTGCTGTATTGTAAATATCAAACAGCAATGAGTTATTTATTGCCCAGTCTCTCACTCTCGAACATGACAAATTCTAATGCTTTGCCTGAACTGACCTCTCATGGAACAAAATTAATCTCTCTGTTTCCACAAAGGCTGTACAGATGTCCAAAATATGGGATCTTCCTAGATATTTTATTCTTTTGCTGAGCAGAGTGCTGAACTGGATAATCCCTAAATCACTGACTGTTGAAAGGTTTTAGCAGGGGAAGGATCACTATTTATGTTCCTATACACTCCCCTAAGTATCTGCCCTCACTGACTGCTAGAGACAGAGTATTAGGCTAGAAAGACCTGTAGCACAACCTCTATCTTGTGATTATAATCAGTTTAAATTCACAGTACAGTTTTTGTACTAGAATTTGCATCTAATTTATGCTGCTCCATGCTGGGAAGAGAAGGTACTGGAAATCGCCCTCTTCCCTCACAGACCTTCCCACCCTCTGTCCCCACACTCTCACCACCTGCACTGGGTGACCCCAGACTGGGTGACCCCAGGACTGCTGCTGGGTGGTCACATGTGGACCCCTCTCCCAGAAGCAGTCCTGCCACAGTAAGCAAAGGCCATTTGTCTGCAAGGTGCAAAACCAAGTTTGCTGCAGCAACAGCAGCTTGGATCCTACAGTTTCTCACTGTGCTGTGGAGATGAGGTTCTTCTTACCCTACAGCATCAGAGCTCACATGAGCCCTAAAAACTTCCTTCAGCCCCTCAAACTACATCACAATTAGGGTCAGGGGAGACATCAAATTTGAGATGTATGGAAAACCACTGTGGACTTCAGTGCAACCACTTGGACCTAGCTGAACTAATACAGCCACTGCTCAAATGCCAAGCAACTTTGATTCTCACAAGACTGCTCCTTAATTGAAACTATTCAACAAATGTTTTCTGTAACTGTAATTCAGCCAATTGATTCTTTATAATCTTTGGCTGTGACTGCTGCATTCAGTACAAGGAGAATTCTCTTTCTGTACTCATTTGCATCTGAGCATCAGCCTTGCAAACAAGGGTATATTGTTTATCAGAACATTCACAAGAAAATGTTAGAGGAACAAATCAATACTTCCCAATTACCTGGAAAACATATCCTCAAAATCACCTGTGACTACTGATTTTATGCAAACAACTATTTAAACCCAACCTTGACCCTTGGCAACTACAGAGCTGTTCAGGGCATGTTAGCTGGGAAACCTTACCACACTGAGATAGCTATAATGTCAGCAATGAGCTATCCTTAATGAAAAATAAAAATTCCCATATGAAAAAAAATCCTTACTTTTCACTGCTTTGGAACTATTCAATAAGTACTGGCTCGGTACAAGGCTCAACACATGCATTAGTGAACTCTGACCTTACTGCATAGTACAGTCATAAGTGTTGGGCTTTTATTACAGAGGTCTCTCACAGTCAGTGCTGATAAAGTAGGATCCCAGTGGCAACAAACCATTAGGGAAACTTTCTTTTTCACCTGTCTAACAAACCTTGAACCTGCAAAGTACTCAGGCTAGTGAAGAGTGCCAGAAAAACAAGGACATATGCAATGAGAGTGCTGGACAATTTAATTACAACAGTCATAAGACCAAAAACAACCCCACAAACCAAACAATTATTTCATGCTCGAATTTCATTCCTCTTTATTCCTTTATGTTGTTGCAATTAAACTGCATATTACTATTTAATTTCCTTAAATGGGACAGTATTTCACAGAAAATGGATATCCTCCTGGATCTCTGAACTCCTCTCTGAGAGTGAGTAACTGTTATTAAAAGACTATTAAATAACCCTGTAGTAGTAATTAATCAGCCTCAGGTCTAAGCTGTAAACGGCAATAAAGGAAGATTCCACCACCATGGAATATTAGTCCCTACTTTAAAAATCTGCATTGCTGATTGGATTTAGGTTTTGGCTGGCTAGTCTGAGCAACATGAATTTGATCAAGAAGAGGAAGTATGGGGAATATAAGGGGAGAACAGCACACCCTGATCAAGCAAGAGGCAAATTAAAAATTCTTTATTCTATTTGCAGGAAGTTCTGCTAATGAAAACATATAAAATCAGAATTTAATCAAGTCAATATAAGCTAATATACAGGTATGAAGTCCAGCTGTATAACTTAAATTATTTTCATTAAGTGGTCAGCTATCTGGAAAAAGACTGATATTATCAGTAGAATTCTCTGAATGAGATAAGAGGGAGAGATGCCTTTTTTTCTAAAATGAAAATAAATAACAATAACTAAACTCAGGCAAATATCACATAATAGACAGACAACATAGATGGGACTGGGTGCTTTGACAGGGCAATGATACTCCTCTGACAACTTGAGTTTCTTTGTTTCCTTGTGAATTTCTAATGCTTAGTTAAACCAAAGAAGACACCACTTTAAAAGCCTTGTGACTGCCTTAAAATTGTATGTTTCATTAATCTGTGTTAAGGCACAGATGTGCCAGACCTTTCATTCTTCACTCAGAAGGAATAAGGGTATTCCATACTCAGGGCTGCTCCATCACTTAGCCAGGAACAGTCAGTTCTACAGTGCAGTGTAGGCCGAATAATAATAAAAATTCATGCTTCTAACCCTTCAACAGTCACAAATTTCAGGATGGAAAAATAACACACTTGAGATGCATTAAATGCTCATTAAAATTAATGAGAATGATGTGATTCTTACAAAAAGTGCAGCATTGTCTAGTGAAGGAACTGTTTAGTCTCACAAGTGAACTGAGAGTGTTAAGAAGTCTGGTGGTACCAGATAAAATCCACAACAAAGCCGTATAGAAAAATTCACATGGCCACCTGGAAAAAAAAATCACAGTTCTTTCAGCTCTATTTTATCAAAGATTTTGACACTGTTTTCACATATACTGTGGGTAGTTTTCACCCCATACCTTTTGATTTCTTTTTAATTTTGTGATTTGTTTTCCTCCTTTCGTGTAGTATAATCTCTCCTCTGTGTTTCATGATCTAATTTTACCTCTTTGCCCTTGAAAGTCTGTATTCATTCAGACAAAATAATGACCAGGAGTAACAAAAGTAGCATGCTACAGTTCTCGTGCTTGGATGGATGTAGATATTGATAACTTTGCTGCAATTTTGAATAGTATTTAACCCCTCCCACATCTAAAATCTCATAAAGAATTATCCCAATATATGGATTTTTAAAGGGAAAAATCTAAGATCAAAAATGGAGGTTCCAGGACTGTGGGAAGTATCTAGGAGGCAGAAAGGAGAGTTGAATAAATATTAATAATTTTGACTATAACAAGAGATTTTAGAAGTTGCCTGCATAATTATATTAACTCCTGGTTTGGCAAAAGTGAACATGTTAACAATTATCACAAAAGATGTAGAAGAACAATAATTAATATGGAAAATAAAATCTAGAAATAGAAAAGAAATACATTTCCTCTAGAAAGGATTAAAGGTGTTAGCACTGCAGTGACACAGCCTGTACCTGCCTTTTACCTAAGGCAGGTCTGCAGTAATTGCAAAATCTCAGGCCAGACTGCAGCCAGATTAATCCTCTCTCTCCTCTGAATCACTGGAGTGTCACTAGAGATTTGTATCCTAAAATGATGCCTTGGGACAGTCCCACCATATAGTTGGTGTCAAGTTACCTGAGAGCCCAGCAAGAAAGGACTGTCAATAATCCGATCCCTGGAAGAGTAGTAGTAGCCTTGAATTGATCAAGCACAAAAGAGCTCCAGTAGCAGCCATTCAAAACATGAGAAAGCCTGAGGAAAATGAACAGAAAAAAAACCAACAACAAAGAACAACAGCAGCAAGTGAGGTTTGCACAAAGCCAAATGGAAAATTACTAGATTCAGCAGTTGTTTTACTAGGATGTTAGATCTTTTATTAAATTTCAAAAACTGTATTATCATTCATGTCCTGATAACAGTACAACAAAAACAATATGAAAAAAATCCAAATGTGAATAAAATAATATTTTTTATTACAATCCATAGGGGAAGAAAGACTGATATACACTGCTTAGTTTCATTCCCACTGACATTTCAGTTCTCACTCTCTAGTATTGAGTTATCTTACCCAAATGCAAAAAGTCAGCTACTTTAAAATGCTAAAGTAGAATACTCTATCTGAATTCTGTGTAGGAAAACAGGTCACAGAATGCAGTCCCAGACTACTAAATCTGCTTAATGCAGATACATTCCTTTTCCACTTTGAATCAATACCATGATTTTCAGGAGCTATGGAATGTTCTGCTGCTAAATTAATGTCCTTGTATCAGTAATGCTGAGATCCTATTGTTTCAAGAGAGTCATGGAAGATATAAAAGATACGAATTTGTAGGGCCAAGGGCCAAACTGCCTATATGGATATAAAATACTAAATCACATTATATAAATAATGTAGAGAGATTCATACAACAAAAATTCTTAAAGAAAGCAAGAATCTAATTTCTGCAGTTTTATTACAGATATTCCTCTCTTCCAAGAAGAATGCAAATGACAGTGCCTTTTTAACTTGACAGCTTCCCTTAATTTTTTTATTTTTTTTGTTCTAGATTACAAGGATGAAGGAGAGGAAGAATTGTTTTATGCTTCATTTTGATTTTTTTAATATTTCCTACTTGATAAAACATTTTTCAGTGACGAGTTTGTAGCACTGGGAGTAAAATCTAACTTATCACAGGGGCATTATTTTTCCTTTTTCAGAATTACATGTGTTTAAAAATCAATGTTTTAAAATGCATGTTATTACCACACAGTAATAAAAAATTCTCCTGTTTATCATGGAGCCTGTATTCATAGGCTTATTTACAAAATTCACAGTCACACAGGGATGCAACATCCACCATAATTAACAGTTACATGGCCAAGAAATTATAACCATGGCTTCAGAATTGGGATTGACTGAAGTCAGCAGGGCAACACCTGAGCAGGAAATAGAAGAGGCTGCAGGGCAAGGAAGAGGTAAATGCTGGGAGTTCTCCTGCAGCCCTGAGATACTCACTTGTGTGAGGTTTGGATGTCCAACCCAGGGCTCCTGTAGCTCTTGCACTGGGTAGAAGAGGCTCTCCAATGAAAACATGCCTTGAGAAACCACCCCTGGATATGTGAGCAGAACCAGGTAATTCAGACTTTCTCTTGCCTGTTCCCATGTGGAGACCACCTTCATCTGTTGTTTTCATCATTTTGGCACCCATGTCTGTACAATGGCCAGCTGTCAATAAAAAGAGAGGAGTAAAAAAACAGGCTAGACCCATTAATAGTTTGGAAAGAGCCTCCAATAAGCCATGGAGAAACCTGTACATGTGCATTTTCTTTCAAACACATGCCTCATCACCTGCTTGACACGCAGCTATGGCAATCTTGATTTTAGTAATAAATGGATTATTGGGAAAAATCCCAACAGTTCCGCATATGCTTTTCTTTGAGATATCCAAATTCCCAACTTCAGTATAGAGCAATAGGATGCTCCTGAAGAAGTAGGTTATGATACTTCAGCTGCGTCAGCGCAGCACATGCAACACAGTGGGTCATGCAGCCATTATTCTTAAAAGGCTGTAAAGAATCCAACCACTTAGAGAAATTGACATAGCCTGGATCCTTTTCAAGCACTAAATATGAGGAGCCTATGATCTTGTGTTTTTTTCTGTCCTATTAAATAATGGACAAGGTCAGCTACATTGGACTAGGTTCAGTAAAGAAATTAATGTTTGCCTTTATGGTGCCAATAGAAAGAGAAATACAGAAAAATCACCTCCAGTTCTAGCATCTGATTATGACCACAAAAAACCAGGAAAGACTATAAACATATTTTAAGTGCCATTTCTATGGCACACAGACTATTTGTGACTTCATCAAGCCTTTAATATGCAGTGGTCACTCTGTTGATGAAATTGCCTACCTGGTGAGTACCACTATTCTATGAACAAGTCAGTAGTTCTATGTAAATTCAATCTTTGCCAATTATTTCTCAGTCACTGATTGAGAATGTATATCTTTTACCCTGTGGCCCATGTGAGGCAACTTACCCTCAGTGGAAGAGGCCCTAAACAGTTCACAGACAGGCATTAACCACACAGGAGCTGACCTACAGGGAGACCATACACGATGGGGCCTCACAGCATCTTGCTTTCTGATGGTTTAAAAACTGAGTATCAGAGAGAAAGTAGCTCTCTGCAGCAATTCTGGCCACATTTATAAATGAAGAAAAGGCAACCACCCTACAGGATGTGTATTCCTCTTCCTATTTTCTCCAAATTGCTTTCCATATAGAAGCTAAGCACAAGACCTGTGCCACAGTAGCTGATAAATGTGAAGGCAAGAAATGCACAGCTTAAATATTCTACAGGTACTGAGAAACAAGCAATAGTTTGATTTGTGAGCAATGCCCACAGGGATGCTTCTAGTGACCATTTCACTGCAGCACACCTGGCATTTTGCACAATCTGAAACTGTTCTCATCCCACTTCTCCTTTCCAGTCTCTGAGGGGATCAAATGCAGATTAGGATGGAAGAGAAAAAATGCACAAGCTGAACGTTTACTAAATGCATGCAAAAATGAAAGCAGAGCTTATTTAACATCAACAGTCTATAATTTGTGTCTTCTGAAAAAAAAAACTCTGTCTAGATTGGTGTCATGGTTTCAGTCCAGCCAGCAACCAAGCCCCACAAAGCCACTCCCTCACTCCCACAACCAGCAGGATCAGAGAACGAATTTGAAGTGTAAAAGCTGGAAAACTAATGGGCTGAGATAAAGACAGTTTAATAGGCAAAGCCAAAACTGCTCAAACAAGCAGACCAAAACAAGACATTATTTCCAGGCTTCCCATGGGCAGGCAGGTGTGCAGCCATCTCCAGGACAGCAAGACTCCATAACATTTAACAGTGACTTGGAAGGACAAATATCACCACTCCAAATGTCCCTCCTTCCCCCTTCTTCCTCGTCCCCCTCTGCCCCCCCTCTATATACTGATCATGGTGCCATGTGGTCTGGAATGTCCCTTTGGTCAGTTGGGGTGATTTGTCCCAGCTGTGTCTCCTCCCAACCCTCCCAGGCATCCCCAATCTCCTCACCAACAGGGCAGCAGAGAAAGCAGAAAAGGCCTTGGCTCTGCTCAGCAGTAACAAAAGCATCTCTATATTATCAGCCCTGTGCTCAGCACAAATCCAAAACACAGCCCCATACCAGCCACTGTGAAGAACAATTTATTCTATCCAGGCTGAACCCAGTACAACAGGAATGGACTGAAGGCAGGATACTGACTTTTAGTATGATCAGCCCTAAAAATAGCAATTGGCACTATCTTTCCCTGTTCTGAAGGGAAGATACTTCTATCTCAGGTGAGATACCTATTCTTACAGGCATCTAAAACCCCAAATTAGGAGCCCTCTGTCAGAAAAGCAGCAATGTAGAAGAGAAGGGAGAGCCTGGGCTGTGATATGACATGCAGCATGTAGATTCTCTTTAATTATCTTTCTACAAATTAATACCTCCGTCTCTCATAACTCCTTAACATAACTACATTCACTGGACTCTAATTTAAGGTGTGTGGCTGCTGTTCTGTATGACATTTCTTCCAGATAAGAGAAAGGGCTGTAGAAATTAGTTGCATCAGACTGTGGGGGAAAAAAAGTCTTATACTATTTCCTGCGAGTAGTGGTATTATTAATAAGAATAATAATGGTAATCATTATGGAAGATATGTGTACCTTTATTTATTTCACCTGAAATCTACTATGGTTTTCTCAAACCTGTCAACATAGCATTCAAAGAGCTCTTTCAATTACTGAATTATTTTCTATTAAATTAGAAGCAATGTACTTTTCAAAGAAATCATCTATTATTTATATATAAAAGGCAAAGAAACATCTAACCCACAATGTCTCTACAAATCTTACAGCTGAACTGTTAGGCTGTAAACACAGCCATATTAATGGGCTTATTCTGCAACAAAGCACTTAAAAGATAGCACAGCAACAACAATGATAGATGCTAAACGGTTTTAATAAAAACACAAATCCAAACCATTCATGAAAAAATGTTAGACATACAGGGAAATTCCCCTGCTTGTAAGCATCACCAAAATGTCTGGTGTGGAACTCAAGTATAATTCATTGCCTTTCTACCCCAGATTCCTAGTGTTCAGATGAAAAAGTCTGATATTTATTGATTCCTGCTAAAATATTCTACATATATAATAGGCAACAATCAATATTTGCCTCACAATGAGGGGACAGGAACTTCAGTCCTATTTTATAGCCAGAAAAATAAGTAGAAACCTGTAAATCTTATCAGCACCTAAGACCCAGTGTGAAAGGTTTTTGTCGCTGCTATTAGCCTAAGTTTAGGCCCATTCTAATATATCCTGCTCAATAAAAAGCCAAGGTTAAGGGCATTTATTGAAACTGTTAATTTTCATTAACAAGAAGAAACTGAGGCAATTCCTTGGAGTCTGACCAAGTAAGATGACTCCAAGACAGTTCCTGGAAAAACACTGGATATAGTAGTATATTGTGAGAGGGAAAGCCTGCCCCTAAAACTCTCATCTGTCTTTCCTTCTCTTCTTCTTTTAAGCAATAAATATAAAAGCTTGAAAAGGAAAGCCTGGAAAAGGCCTCCAGACTTCATCTGGTTCATCCCTTAGCCTGGCAGTCCTGTACTGCTTCAGACAGATAGCTTTCCAATATCTTACAGGCTTTTTACAAGAAGTTCTTACAGATTTTCAAGAAAGCTTCTGCCCGGGCTTTGCTATCCTTAGTAGTTTTCCTTGAGTCCTAATTGAAAAATCCCTTGTAGTAATTTAAAATCATTATTTTTTCCTTGATCTATACAGGAAGTTCCAATTGGAACTCTAACCCCGCTCTCAAGCAGCTTTACTACTACTACTGCTGCTACTAGTACTATTATTATTGTTGTTGTTGTTGACACAGTGACTGAAAAACTAACAACAGACTGTTCATCTTGCAAGACCACATCTAGCAAACAAGATTTATAAATCCCAGTGCATTTGCATTTTTTTGCAACAGCAGCTTGACTCATTCAATTTCCATCCACTACAACCTGTGGATCCTCTTCTATAGATGAGCTTGTTCTTCCCCTTGTATTCAGGCAGCTGATTATACATGCCTAAAAGTAGAATTTGCAGAAGTGAATTGTATCTTACTTTTTCTCTTAGCTCATTTCTTATTCTAATTCTCTCCTCCAAGGTCTTCCCACCTTGATGTCATCTACAGATTTAATAAACAAACTTTTCATTCCATTAGCCACGTAACAAATTAAAACATTCAGCAAGCTAAAACGCAAGACAGGAACAAAACAAGCCCCCAGAGCAATGCAAAACACAATGTTCTATCTTGAAAACAAACTACTGTCAGCACAATTTTTCAGTGTTTACACCTGCAATATAGTAGTTTTACCCAGAATGTGAATCTGCAGCTTAATTTTAAACATCATGCAAGTCAACATTAGAAGCTTGAATCCTGAAAGTTAGAATATCTATGGTTCTCTCTCTCTCCAGAATATCTGTCACTTTAATAGAAAGATATTAGACTGATTTGTGCACATTGTTTCCAACAACTCTTCATGATGATTCAACTGCATCTCATTAATATCTTGCAAATAGCTATATTATCATTTCTGTTTGTTTGCTTGCTTGTTTATTTTACCAGGAATTGAAATTACACTCGTTTCTTTCCCACAGGCTCCTTCTTCTTGCCTTCTGAAAACAGAAATTTTATTTGTCCTTTTCCAAACTTCTAAAACCCCAAGTACTATTCATGAGAATTCAAAGGTAACCTTTCACTTTTTGGGACTTGCTTCATCTTGCACTCTAAGGAGCTTTGGATAAATGTTAGATACTTTTGAATTGAATGAATCACTCTTCTGAATACTCTTTAACCTGTACTTTCTTGAAGTCTGCAAAATACTTCTGGTTTATCATTCTTTTTTGTTAACTGTAATAATAATCTGAGCAATGTCTTTTTTTTGGTGAGAACTAAAACAAAGAACTCCAGAGTTTCAGAATTCATCACATTTGATAGTTTTCTCTGTTTTGAACAGGGATAATTTTTTCCTTGACTGTCTTCTTACTAATAACATAATTTCCTGTTATTCTTTACAGTCTATGCAATATGCATCTTGATTTATTGACCTTGTCTTTTTGACTTTTTCCTTTTAGGTAAATTTTATTGTTTTATACTTATGTTTAGCAACTT